AAGAGGAGTTCAATCTACTTACAATACCAAAGGCTGCGTTTAAAAAGCTTAGTAGATGGTATCCAAATTTTCAGCATCTACTTGTATGTATAAAGAACACAGCCCTTAAACTACTTTTCTATACTACAGATATGACTGAACCCATATGTCCTGGGTTCAGCAGTAGCAGTCATTTTTCTCCTTCTTAGTAGCTGGTGCAGCGTTGTGGTTTTGACTTTCAGCCTGGGAACAGTGCTGATAACACCGATGTTTTTAGTGGCTGCTCAGTAATGTTTAGTCTGAACAAGGACTTTCTGAGCTTCATGCTCTGCCAGGGAAGAGGGGAAGCCAGGAGGAAGCAGAGACAGGACACCTGACCCAAACTAACTAAAGAGGTATTCCATACCACAGCATGTCATGCCCAGTATATAAACTAGGGGGGGTTACCCAGAAGGGTTAGATCACTGCTTGGTCAGGCTGGGTATCGGTCAGCAGGTGGTGAGCGGTTGTATTCTCTCCCCTTGTTATTTCCCTTATCATTGTTATTATTGGTGGTAGCAGCAGTGATTTGTGTTATACCTTAGTTACTGGACTGTTCTTATCTCAACCTGTGGGAGTTACATTCTTTTGATTCTCCTCCCCATCCCTCCGGGAGCCGAGGGAGGAAAGGGGGGAGTGAGCGAACGGCTACGTGGTTTTTCTGAATTACTGACTGCACTTAAACCACGACACCATAATATCTTTTTATTAAGATTTTAGTATAGAAATGGTGTTAGAGGGCAGATTTGTCTCCTTTCTGAAGGGCAAGGTACAGGCAGTTTTTCTAGTAAGCATCGTATCTAACAGTCACAACAGCCTCACTCACCACTAAGTCTCCAGGCTTCAACTTCTCAGCATCAACCAACCCAATAACAGGCAGGAAATATGTCTGCGGAAAAAGATCAAAGTAAGCAAAGCCAGCAGAAGGTGGTCCTTTTCAGCATTCACCACACCTAGCTGGGCACATGGATCTTACCTGACGTGTAGATGTCTTGATCACAGCACACTTGCCCTTTCGCTGGGAATCCAGGTCAATATTTGCTCCATCCTCCTCCTGGTCATTGGGGTCAACATCCAGCAGCTGCAAATCAGAATGACAGTTAAGAACATACCATGTCTGAAATTACTGACGAGTTCCATGCCCTCCTCCTGTCCATACTGCACACACTTGTCACACTGCTGCAGAAGAGTGCCTTGCTCTCACCTCGATAACGTTGGAGACAAGGTATGGCAGGGTTTTGTTCACTTTGATCTTCTCACTGTTCTCTTTAATCTTGTCTTTCATGGCTTGAAGCTCATGAGTCACTCTCAATACTTCACTCTTCATAATCTGGAATCAGTCACACATGAAAGAGGTAGGGATCAGAGTAGAAGGCCAAGGCAAGATAGAATTCATACATTATTCCAAAAGTAAAAGCTATGAAAACCTAAATCTGAGGAAATAGTGATTATAAAGGGAAACCTAATTTAAAAAGAGGAAATGCAGCAAATTAGCCAGCCCTGGTTAGGAATCAAGGCTACGCAATCCATTCTGGTCTCTTACTAATCAATATCCTGAAATAGTTTCTTCCCAGCATCACAGGATAGCCTTACCCTGATCAATGCAGCAGCTTACAGGGTTGCAATATGACCTAGATAAAGCAGCTGTGTTTTGGTTTGCATTTTTTAATATATACAGACATACAGATACCCCGGTGACTAGATATACACATACACATGCATATCCATATGCGTCCATATACACACACCTATTTTAAAGTTGTTTTTTTAAAGAAGAATTGGGACCAGTACTATTTTAATATCTTCATCAATGACACAGACAGTGGGATCAAGAGCACCCTCAGCAAGTTTGCAGATGACACCAAGCTGAGTGGTGTGGCTGACAGCTGAGGGACAGGATGACATACAGAGGGACCTGGACAAGCTTGAGAAATGGGCCCATGTGAACGTTATGAGGTTCAACAAGGGCAAAGTCCTGCACATGGGTCAGGACAACCCCAATATCAATAGCAGCTGGGGGATGAAAGGATTGAGAGCAGCCCTGCTGAGGACTTGGAGTGAATGAAAAGCTGGACATGAGCAGGCAGTGTGTGCTTGCAGCCCAGACAGACAACTGTACATTCAGGGTCTGACTGGACAGGGTTCTGAGCAGCCTGATCTGGTTGAATATGTCCCTGCTCACTGCGAGGGTGTTGGGCTAGCTAACCTTTAAAGGTCACTTCCAACCCAAAGTATTCTATGATTGTATGATTCTATTACCTGTCAGAAAAGCAGCTCTGTACATCCAACAGTCAGTACATTTATACCCAAGACCAATGCACACAATACAGGTGTTCTCAGTGCTGTCTGGCTGACACCCACATACTTTTCCTCCCTTTCCTGGTTACTCACAGTTTAAAAACGCACCAGTTTTGTGATCCTCAGTGAAGCAACTGTAGCCCCATATGATCTCAGGAGAACTGGTCACATCTGAACTGGTTTATGTGATTCAGTTTAATGGGGAAATCACAGAATCGTAGAATAGTTCAGGTTGGAAAGGACCTTAAGATCATCCAGTTCCAACCCCCCTGCCATGGGCAGGGACACCTCACACTAAACCATGTCACCCAAGGCTCTGTCCAACCTGGCCTTGAACACTGCCAGGGATGGAGCATTCACAACTTCCTGGGCAACCCATTCCAGTGCCTCACCACCCTTACAGTAAAGAACTTCTTCCTTATATCCAATCTAAACTTCCCCTGTTTAAGTTTGAACCCGTTACCCCTTGTCCTATCCGTTCCTCTCTAAAAAATTATCTTCTTAAAACTCTTGATATCTAAGCTTAATACTGTGCTGTAACACGTACTTACTCACAGGACAGGACTGTTACAGGAGTCAGTACTGTACCTGTTACATACAAATGCAAAACATTCAGAGTAATGGAATTATTAGAATAATTTAGCATTAGTCTGAAAAATATTCAAGGAAAACTGCATGAAGGGAGGGTGCCAATAAACATTTCTCCATTACGATGCTCTTACTATAAAATAAAGACAACTTTTACTCCTTACTATGTTCTGCAATTTCAAAATAAGACACTCATTTAACATTGCTGCCTTTAAAAACCAGGTATGTTAATATGTCAGAATCGCTAGTGGCCTCTGAAGCACTAGGATCAAGTTGCTCTCTAGAATTCATGGAACAATTTATCTCAATACTACTAAAATCAGGCAGCAGAGACAAGCTTATACTAAAGTTAGGAGAGCTCTTGTGTGAAACAGATCTGTCTTGGGTCAGGTCTACCCAGGTCTGTCCTACGTAACACCTTGATGAATGGCCTAGAGAAGAGGAGGAGTGCACATGGGAAGGAAGAGCACCTTGCAGTGACACAGGCTCCTGACTGGCTCTGAGGAAGGGGACCTGGGGGTCTCCATGGGCAATAAACTGAACAGGAGGCAGCATCATGCCCTGACAGCAAGGGTGGCAAACAGCACCCTGGGCTGTACTAACAGGAGTGTAGCCAGCAGATGGAGAAAAGTGATCACCCCCCTTTACTCAACATGTGTTAGATCCTGTCTGGAGCAACTGTTCAGTGTTGTTCCCCTGCCCCTACAGCAAAGACATTGATAAAGTGGACTGAGTGCAGCACAGGGCCGCTGAGACGGCCAAGGCAAGTGGAGCACAGGACCTGTGAGAAACAGCTGAGGCTTCTTCAGCTGGAGAAGGGAACTGCTGTAGAAGGTACAAAGAAGACAGAACCAGACACTTCACAGCAGCGCACGGTGGGCAGATGAGACAACAAAGACCAAAACAAGAGAGGTTCAGCCTGTATGTAGAGCAAATCTTCACCCTTACAATGACAGCCAGGCTGTGGCACAGAACACCCACAGCAGTGGTGCAGTCTCTGTTGAGACGCTCTCAATATCCAAGCAGATGAAGCCCTGAGCAGCCTGGGTTACCGCTGGCCCTGCTCCAGGCAGGACGTTTGACCAGAGATCTTCTCAAGTCCCTTCTAAGCCGAGTTACTCGATGATCCCACCTGAACCAGGCCGCGGAACAGACCCCCCCTCCCCTGGGCCTGCAACAGTTGGGAGGCCTTCAGCAAGTGCCTCCAAAGCTCTGCAGAACATCCGACCCGTCAACTCCCTGCTCTTTCAGTACTTCGACCCTGCCTTCGGGGCTCGCCATTCCCCAGCCTACCGCTCACGATCGAGATAACCGCACGTTATTTTCTACTGCCCTGGTCCCTGCCCCATTGCTCAGCTTCCCTGCGCCCTCCCCTCAATGCAGCAGCAGCAGCAGCGCAGGGCTCCCGAGGCCCGGCCCGGCTCAGGTCCCCTCCCCGGCCCTGCTCCCCCCGCGGCTGCCGGCCCCTGGCCGCTACCTTGATCTCGCTGTCGAGGAGGCGCGTGCGCTGCACGATCTCCTCCGTGGACATCTTGAGCACCTCCTCGCCGACACCGTCCTGCGGGGCACAGCGGCAGCGTCACCCTCGGCTCAGCTCAGCCCGGCCCCGGCCCCGCCGCTCCCCGCCCCACCATCGTAGCCCCAAGCCCGGCGGCAGCCCCAGCCCGCGGTCCCAGCCCCTCACCTCGGACTCATCCCACACCGACGCCATCTTGCAGCGAGCGAGCGACCGCACAACACGGCGGCTTCCGGGCGGCAGATTCGGCGCTCCTCACCCCGGCAACAAGGCGGGAGGCGGCGGAACCAGCAGCTCGGCGGCCCCGCGTCCCTTCCTTTTCCTCCTCCTCGGCACCTCACCGCGGCCGCAGCCCCTCCGCTACCCCCCCCCCGCGCAGAGCGGCCCGACGGCTGTGGCGAATCTGCGGGCGCGGATGGTGAGGGGAAATCACCACGAGGATCACGTGCCCCGGTAAATCTGCTGAGTGATCCGTGAGGCGGAGCGGAGCGGAGGGAGGCGGCGCTGCCCCGGGACAGGCCGGGCCGTGCGCTTTATTGCGGTCAGTGCCCGTACAGAGAGCGCAGCCGGGCCGGGCCGAGGGGATCCGGCTGCCCATCCGAGCACCGCGGCCGCTGAGGCGGGGCCGGCGCAGCCCGAAGGGGCCCGAGCACAGCGGGGCTGCCGCAGTCCCAGAGGCGCGGCCCGAGCCCCCCCGGCGGCAAGGTCAGACGTAGCCGGGCTTCACCGACAAGCGGCGGCAGTTGGGGCAGCCCCGGGTCCCGTTGGTCTGGAGGCACCTGCAAAGGGAGGAGGTTGGTTGGGGGGGGAGGCTCTGCTCCCGTTTCCTGTATTAACCACCTCGCATGGAAAATGCGCCCTCCCGCTATGATCCCCCTTCCAGCCATGCCGCGGAGGGCCCTCAGCACGCCCCTTTCACAAGCTGCTGTAGTGCTGGAGACAAACCCAGAGGGCTCACTGAGCATCTCTCAGCGCTCAATAGTTTGATCCTAACGCTGGTGTCACTGGGGGGGGGGGGCTTTAAATTCTTAAATTGTGTGTCTTTACATTGTTAATTTTCAGCACCAAGTGTTCTGTTACACTCACGTTCCCCCTAAAAGTAAAATAGTGGTAGAGGTAAACTTTATGGCAGTAACGCAGTAATAGACTGGACACCTTCACCTTTGTGTCTGTACATGAGAGAGAAAAGGTGGGGGGGGAATTCAGGGGCACAAATCCAAACTACCCTGGGTGTGGAGTAATTCACTAAGAGTCTGAATTGGGCTGGGCACCTGCAAGGTGAGGACACTGCTGAGCTACCATTTAGGGGACAGGAGTGAGATGGGCAGTATGGCTAAATCCATCCCCCATGGTAGGGGGTTGGAACAAGATGATCGTTAAGGTCCTTTCCAACCCAAACCTATGATTCTATGGAATCTCACCCTTCAAAGCCATGAGATTCACAGCACTGCAATGGGATCCTGTAGGGCAAAGCAGGACAAAGACCTAGGGAACAGCCTGCATAGGGCTGTCCTACTCTGGTCATGAACAGCTCTTTCTTACGACTAATGTCATAGTACTTCCAGCTCATTACTTTAAGTGGAAGAAGTGGGAGCAAGGCAGCGCCTGGAGCTGGTTGTTCTTCTCCCCAATGGACTCTCCACACATGCCACAGTACAGCTCCATCTCCTCCACGCATTCATGGAACTTCACTACGTGGTCACGCAATTCTTGCTGCTGCCCCTTTGTGCGATAGATCCTTTCACACAGGCAGTGGAGCTTCAGCAGGCCAAGCTGCACACAAAGGGTGGAAACAAGAGAAGTGAACAAGGTGAAGACAGACCAGGAGCAGGAGTGGGAACCACTTCGCCCCCATCAGCCAGCTAGAGAAACACCAGCACAGAAATTTGTCTGAGGGATAGGACCATGCATAAGGACATTTGGTCTCTCAGCACTTCCTGCCATTAACCCTGCTTCTCTGTATCACCAGAGGGGACACCAGGTTTGAGGACATCTGCAGCTCTTTCCCTGATGGTTTTCCTCAGCGATCCATGACATCCACTGCACTTTGCCTCCAGCCAACACACAGTTCAGCTGCTGCTCAGGACAATAATCTTTTTAAAGGACAGAACCCCAATACTGTAGCTCTCTGCTTGTTTAATATCCCATTTTTACTGCTTCCTGTTCCCCTTTGCTCATCCCATTGTGACTCCTCCCTCGTTTTTCAGACCTGCACACTGATGATCATCTGGGCAACTGCCCATAGTTAAACACAACAAATCAAGTTCCAAGCGTCAACTTGTTAGCACAGACACAATAATCAGCAAGAACAAGTCTGGATATTTCAACACTTGGCTTTCTGTTGAAACCTACAGAAAGTGCTGAAGAGAAGCTGTAGGATCCTACCTTGTTCCCTAGTCCCTCTGCCAGCTCCTGTGCTTTTTCAATGCTTTCCAGAGCCTGTAAATGGAGAGCATGCATCATCAGTTCTCAGTCCGATATATTAAGACCAGACTTGTGTGAATGTCCTATGGGAATTATTAATAGAGAGAGAGAAACAGGTAGAGAGTAGAATTTGGACATAAACAAGCACCACTAAACTCTGGAGATGCAAGACAACTGTCTGGCAGACTTCCCCTCTCTCCTAAGAGTTCATCCATAAGAAAAGCCTGGTTTCTGAAAGACCACAAATAATGCAAGAGCTGTGTTTCTGCTCCCGCCACAGGGTGCAAAGTGGGGGGATGATGTCGGCAGAGGCTGCCATTTCCAAGCAGGAGGAATACAGACTTAAACTCAGTCACACATGGCCATAGGTGTTGGGATGAAGCACAAGCAAACCAAGCCTTTTCCCCCTCCAGCCCTACAGGTTCAATAGTTATTGGGCAACTCCAATTTCTCTTGTACAAGAGTGGAGGAAGGGGATCAGCACCACCAACACACCAAGCTCTTCCATTTTCCCCCTGCTGTTACATATCCACTTTGTCCTACTTGCACATGGTGTAATACAGGAGTGTACTGCTATCCACCTTTTTCAGTCTGAAGGAAAGTATTTAGCAGAGCAGCTGTTATCCAAAATGAGTCCCTACTTTCCACTAGAGATGCCATAGTGTTCCTCACTGTTCTCAGCATTGGTCTCTTTTTCCAGAACTGTTCAGATTTGCTTCAGGTTTGTCCAAGGGGAAGAAGAGGTCTCCCTTGTGATGCAGTAGTTTATAAAACTTCTACCCTATATTTTGGCATTAACTATTCTAGGAGATGGGGACCCGATGAGATGAAAGGACTTTGAATACAGAGGAGATGGCATTAGACCTGTGGTGGCAGCAACAGCCTAGGATAAGGGATGTGCAGAAGAAGGAAGCAGGAACTGAAGGCTACCAGTTAGAACATAACTGCAAGCTGTGCCTAGGGAAGAGTGTCTGTGTACTAGAAAACCCTGAAATTAATGACTGGGACTAAGAAGCAAAGTGAAGCATGTGGGGTGGGGGGAGAGATGCTGAGAAGCTCAGGGGACAGTTGTCTTGGAGAGGAATGTGAGACTGTAAGAGAGTTTGGGCGAGCAGCCTGAGAGGATCTGCAGTAGTACTGACCATAGGATCATAGAATAGTTAGGGTTGGAAAGGACCTTAAGATCATCCAGTTCCAACCCCCCTGCTGTGAGCAGGAACCACATGCAAATGAAAGGAAATGGATTAACTGGCTGAGGAGACTGGGAAGATGGAGGAAGCTAGGACAAGAATAGGGAATCTGTAAGCGGAGAGTTAGCAAACTGCTTTATTAGGTAACTGCTTTATTAGGTAAATGAGGAGCATGAGAAATGGAAACCGGGATTGGCAAGTTGAGGAACGGGCTTGGGTGAGTATTCAGAGCTGTGACATCTGAGGAGGTCACATTTGGGAAATAGGAATAAGGTCCCTGACCCATGAGGGCAGATTCCCCACTTATGCCTGGAGCAGAATACAAGATTCATCTATTCATTTTCTTGGGTTTGGTAAGGTGAGGACTTGTGCAATGCCTTCACCAGGCTCTCACAAGTGAGAACTGCTTGTGGTACCAGAGGGTGGCAATGGCTGGGTGTGTGATCAGCAGATGTAGGGGTTTGATGAGTGCTCTGAATGTTCTCTACATGGAGGCCTACCTGCTGTGTTCTGTCCTATCTTTTGAACATGAGATGAGGCAGGGAAGGGATTATTACACTGAGCAGAATTTTTAAATCCACAGTTTCTTCTTCCATTGCAAACAGTGTTTACTTGCTGAGACTGCAAGGTGTACCTCACCCAGTTGATTCCCTGCTGTAGGCAAAACAGATGCCGACAGCACTTTGAGCTTGTCTTTTCTAACAGACACATACTTCATTTCCTAATATCTGGGATTCTCTGTTTAAGCCAAAATTCTTTGTGTCTCAGTGATAAGTGCGAATCTTCACCATATCTACACCCAAAGCAGCATCCTGATGTGGCACTGCAAAGGCATTCCAGGTTCTTCAGCACTAGTTCAAGGCTAGCCTTTTGAGCATCTCATTCTGCAGCCCAGCAGTGTTCCTGCAATGCAATCTGCTATATCTAGTGCAGTCTGGATTTTAACTTATATATGCTGCCTAAGCATTTTCAAAGTAAGTAAAATCACCCCCTTGCATTATATTGACCAGTTGTTTATTCCCAGATGATTTTTTCTGCCCTCATTTCTCTGTTTCACAGAATCACAGAATCCTAAGGGTTGGAAGGGACCTCAAAAGATCATCTAGTCCAACCCTCCTGCAAGAGCAGGGTAACCTAGAGTACATCACACAGGAACTTGTCCAGGTGGACAAGTTTCTCTAGGAATTTGATGCCACGTTTGTCTGCAAAGCACATGGTGGAGCTGTAGAGCTGTTTAAACATCATCACTATTACAACGAGCTTAACTTATAGCTGTTAAGTAGGCAGTGGAATCTATTTCAGAGCATAAGCAGAAGCTGATTGGCTACAGTGTAGGAGTAGGCTTCCTTCCCTTAGTGCTGGTTTCTCAGTGTAGTGCTTAAAGTCATGAGGATTGACTGATGAGACACTGGTGTGTTAGCAGTCTGACTCAGAATGGATGTTCATACTGTTAGTAACAAATTCCTGGCTGAAAGAGACCATTTGGAGAAGTGTAACTGTACAAGCAATAGACCCTGTTGATAGAACCAAGAGGTACAGGTGTCTACTGCACGTTGATAGGCATACAGTGCAGAAAAAGCCATTTTGCTCCAATCTTGTTTAATAAACAAGTTTGTAACTGACCTTGTCCAGCTCCTTCTGGATCATCCAGCACTTGGTCACTCCAAGCAGCACCTGGATCAGGCCCAGGCGGTTCCCAATCTCTGTCATGATGCTCAAGGAAGAATCATACCGAGGAAAGGCTGTCTGTAGAAGCAGGGAGGAAAACATTTTTTGCTATGGCCTGCTTTGCACACCCTCTTGCTATCCTCTCTGTCCTTCCTGGCAGGAAGGAGCTGTACCTGTATGTCTTTGCGACTGCGATGGATATCCGCAAAGCACAGCAGACACAGCGCTTGCAGAGGCCGGTCACCATGCTGCAGGGCAATCTTCATGGACTCCTGAAAGAAATTGTCTTTGGTCAGTAAAAGAGCTTATTCCTGGTTCAAAACAGCAGGGCTGGGGCTGTGCATTGCAGGCACAGAGTCTTGTTCACATGTTCCCAACCAAGGGGAATTCATAGACCCAAACTTCTGAGCCCCCGTGGGCTATTGAAACTGCAGTTCTAAGGCTGGGAGGCAGCAGGAACGTGTAGAGCCAAGTGCAAATGCCATGGATATCTCTTCCTCCCAGTCCTGTAGGCAAGATCCCCTTGCAGAAAACCTGTGACAGCTCTGCATCTGCCTGCACCCTGTACCTCACAGCAGTCCATAGCATCTGCCAAGCGCCCCAGTTTCCGATAGGCCACTGCCATGTGATACTGGCTCATTGCACGGTACTTCAAGCTCCAGCCCTTGCCGTAATCATTCACCAGCTCAGCTGCTTTACATGGGAAGAACAAGGCTTTCTCATAGTCCTGTAAGACAGGCAGACATCCACTAGTTACAGCAAAAATAAAGATTAAAAAAGCAATATCTTATTTACTAATATTTCTGTACACCTTTCAACTGCTGCTGCTCACCTTCCACATGCTGCATTTCCCTAAATGTTTTCAGTGGGTATCAAACTGTGGAAGGTGGAATTGCCATATATGGAGTTATTATTACCCTCTGGGTTCAGGACACTGGGCAATGAAAGAGCAAATGAATGTTCTAAGGTATGTCGTGAGCCTTACTCTGCAGGAACCATTTACCCTCCTCTATAACCAAAGGCCGAAAACCTTCTCTTCTCTGACATCATCCCTGCTTTCAACATCTACATGGAGCCCTTATGTTCTCCATATGGAAAGTCAGAATCTGGTTATCCATCATATTGCAGGAAAGAGGAACAAAGAATCATGGCCTCACCAAATCCAAAAGAAGTAATAACGTAACATATTTTCATTTTTAGGCATCTTTCTGGATTAAAAGCATTTTTAAAAGAAATCTTACTTTACAATAATTATGTAAAACTATTATCTTTCTAAACCCATTCTCAAGTAAGTTACATGAGACTGCAGAGCTGAAGAAGTCCTCATGTCTTTTAATTCTCCAAGATGCACATAGGAAACCTCAACTTTAAAAGTTTCCTTTCTCCCTTCTTATTTCATACCTTCAAAGTATCCAGCACAATGTTATTGTCTTTATTTTTGGTATTATGAGAGAGGTTTACAGATAGTTCTCAATGCTTCAGTTGGTGAGTTTTCCACTAGTGACAAAAATCAAGACTTTGTGAGGAAAACTTATTTGTTGCTGTTTGCAGTAGAAGTCAGAATTGGCAAATCACCCCCATCCTCAGCTCTTGCCTTGTTTTGCTCACATCAATAGCTATTTGCCTGTAGTAGTGGTGGAAGTAGAGAATCTGTGAGTTCTGGCTGCCAGCCCTGTGTACAGACAGTACGTCCGCTGATGTGATCTTCTTTGTAGCTAAGTTTGATCTTTTCAACACAGGAATAGTCACAGCTGCTTCTGCTGTGCTATATAAACACTGCACTAATCCTGCCATCCTTACTCTGAAGGATGGTGATTTTACAAAGAGACAGTATCTTACAATGCTCTCTCAGTACTTCACTTCCTACAGCAAAGCAATAACCTGAAATCCAGTTCTTTCCTGAATCCATGGCACAATCTCCCTTCTGTCCCTTAGTGACCTCACCTTTAGCTGGGCATAGAAGTTCCCAAGGCTGCAGCAGACTCGACATTCCAGCATCTTGTCGTCGTTGTTGTGTGCGTAGCGTAAAGCCTTCTCAAAGCACTCCAGAGCCTTCTGGAAGGTGCTGAGGCCCAAGAAGGCATTGCCCATGCTGAGGCTCACCTGGCCATTCAGCTGCAGGCTCACCGTGGTACCCTGCATGTTCAGGCAGGTCTTACAGTAAGAGATTGTTTTCTGGAATTCACAGAGTTTCTCGTTGCTGCGAGCCAGGTTCAGGTAGCTCTCTGTAAGGAAATCTGGGTCTTCCAGCTCCCGTGCTGTGTCAATCTGTACCACTGCAAACTTGAAGTAGAAAAGACAGTGTAGACAGTGTTTATAAAAGCATATAGTCGATTTATGCAGCTCAAACATCCACAGAATAGCACCGTGTACTGGAGAAATGGCTCGTCTCTGAGCAGGGCAAAGTCCAGCAGCACACACTGAGAACCATCGTCTACACTGAGCAGTTATCTGATGGTTTAAAAGGTCTATGAGCAGCCTGAAGAAACCTCTCCCTCTCTCCACACATTAACTCGGCTGGTGGTTAGTAGAAGAAAGCTGTTAGCCCTAATGAGAAGCAGGACACATCTGACACACCACTGCTCAGTTTTCTTTCACTCACTTTAATCTATTCCACTTTCTCTGAACTCTTAAGATATTAAAGTACCCTTTAATAAGAGTAAACAAGCTGCTACTTTCATCAGTTTTTCCACTAACAAATTTCAGTTTTCACAGGTTTTGTTCTGTTACCTTCAGGATTCCTTGCATACAGTTCTCTTAAATGACTTGAAGTCTCTTTCTTTTAGACTGCTCACTCTTCTGAGCAGCAACTCTTTAGTGTTCTGTGGTGAACCAAGCACACTGCTGGCTTGAATTAATACCAGTAGCAAAGGTAAATATACAGCAATTTTCTCTGTATGTATTTTCGTTACAGATTATCAGTTAGGTTTATGGATAACAATTCCCAAGGGCACCAATTACTTCCTTTTCTTCTATAGCGCCAACACATAATAATTGAAGCTACTAGAACATTTTACATTCTTCACAAAATGAACAAAAAAAAAAAAAACCCAACCACAATTGCATGTATTTGGGGATGCATGTTCTCAGCTTCCTTCACACTGTAGGAAAGCTGATGTACGGACCCAGTACTGTGCATTAGCTCATGGCTCCCTGCATTCCCTTACCTTTGTACAAGTTCGTTATTTCCCGATTGCCACAGCCTCTTTCCTTGGTGTGAAGTAATTTTTCTCTCCATCATAACCCTTCTGAAATCACAGTTCATTTCATGCCTTTAATTCTGCCTCCTTTTCTCCTGTTCTTTCCTTTGCTAAAGTTTTCCTTCCTCTATTTTTGATCACTCATGGTATAAAATCTTCAGTTTGACTGAAGCCACTTTTTCTTCCTAATACTGGGAAGAACTAAAATTCACCTATTCTGATCCCAGTTTCTGTTCTCTGATAACAAATTAGGGTTCAGGCATATTCTATGATTCTATACTGACCCCACTCCTCTGCTTGTTTCTTGCTTTCCTGAGAAGTCTTCAACTATTTCCTTCAGGTAGCCACATCTTAACCTTTTACTTCTCCCTAATCAGTCTCTTGTTTCTGCCACCACGTAATTCCACATCATTACCAGAATTGTTTCTCTTCAGATGTTTTCCAAGTGTATTAATAACCCTCTTTTCTTCTTCACCCTAAGTATTTGGTTTTAAGACAGGGCATGGGTTTACTAGTAAGATGTGCTCTCCCCCTCTCTAAACAGAGCTACCAAAATCCTTTCAATGAGATGTGGGCTCCTGTTCACATTTTGTGCTAAATGCTGAATAATTACTAACCTAGTAAGAAGCAAACCAAAACTCCAGGAGAAGAATATCAAAACCCTTTAGCAAGACCCTATTTCAGGCTGTGATGGTTTCTTAAGACTATTACAACATCCTCTTGCCTCGTTTCCTAGATTCCCGAGTCACCCTCCCAAACATTGCCTGCTGCTCTCTATGTGCATTCTGTTACTTCTTGCATCCACACATTGGCTTTTTGGCTCATTTAATCAAACACATTTATCCTCATACTCTTGAAATGCGACTTCAGCTTCTTTCCACCACTCTTCCATCAAGCCCTGTATATCCTTTCTTCTATGCTGTCTTGACAACTGGGAGCTCCTCTCTGACCTCAACATTCTCTCCTGGAATGTTGCAGTCCCCCTGCCAAAAAAGCATCCTCCTTCCCCATTTAATCAGCCCCCTTGCAAACAAAGAACTGTAATAAAACCAATGTAACATCTATATAAGATGTCAAACATCATCTGAACAAGATAACAGATATGTCTTTACAATGTAGACAGCTGCTTATTCTGCAGAATCCACATGGAGATCTTTTTACAGACATACAGTGTAAACAGCTTCAAGTGCAGTAAAGGCCCTGTTTTCATCTCTTTTCCTGAAGCTTGGTTGTATGGTGTGCCTGCATGTGGGGAACAGGTTAAGAAAGGTCCCTGTGATTAACTGGAGAACCACAATAACCTGGGAATCCTGAGGGACCAGACCCAATGAAAAGTAGTATTCTGTGTACATTGTGGGCTGGAGCTATTGATAAACACAGTGATTACAGCAGCCCACAATTCACACTCAATAGCTGGTATGTTCTACTATATACAAAATACCCCCCCCCGATTTCACATTCTGATCTCCAGCCACTCTCCGCAGTGGGTACCACATCATGGCATGCATTCATCTCCAGTTCCTTACCTTCAGCATGTCTTTGTATCTGCCCATCTCTGCGTGAGCAGTGATGAGGCAACCCAAAACCCGAAACCTGCCAGCAGGATCCGCAGACTTCTCCAACACCCTCGTCCACACTCGCAGGGCTTTTTCAGTCTGATTAGACTGGTAAAGATGGAGTCCTTTCTCTATCTGTTGCTTTGTCTGGTCCTGACCCATCTCCCATGCATTAAAAAGCCTCATACACTAACCTATAAGGACAACAAAAAGCAAGTGCATAGAAGAGAACACAACATAAAATGCCCTGATAGAGGAGGGCGGGTTGTGTGCTCAGAAGGTTTGGAGCCATAAAAGCCCACCCATGGCAGGGGGCTGGAGTTGTGGTAGGCAATGGCAAGAAGTGGTTGCTCAGCACTGTAGAATCCCAAATCCAGTGGGCAAATGCCTTGCTTGCTAGGACTCCATCAGTGCATCCGCCTGTCCATTCCCATAAACAAAGAGGAAAAAGCACAACAGGGAGGGAAAGAGAAAAATCCCAAGCAAGAGGAATGAAACTCAACCCGAGCAGCCAGTGCTGGTCTGCTCCCCATTGGCCGCAGCTGCGCCTGCCAGTCTGGCTCACATGGCTCCCAGGAATGCTACTCAGGCTTCCCAGCTCCCAAGGTCACGGCGAGCCAACTGCCCACGCCTGCCCGCCAGCACACGGCTTATAAACACCCCATGGGGAGACAGCACAGTCACAGGGAGGTCTTGATTGTCTCCTCCCTCTCCCTCCAACCATCCCGTTTGCCAAGCTCTGGTGGTGCTGGGCTAAGCTGGGAGGTGGCAGCCTCAGCTGGGAGAGTAGCTTTAGGAACAATACGTGCCTTTAAGAAGGTATGAACTGGGGCTCCAGCAGCTACACATGTGCAGTATTACACTTGCAGCAATGTGCCGGGTACTTTACCAGGCACAAAACTCAGCTCTGCTTTTGAGGAGTACAGCTGGCCTTTTCCATGGACAAAGTTCCACTCTGGCACAGATTTACTGGATATGGCACTGAATTCTGAATTCCAGGGACAAGAAACTAACCATTCTGAAAGGCTTTGTTCATGACTGACTTGCTCGCTGCCTTTTGATACCTGTGACGGTTCTCCAAGAGTTTTTAGTTGAAGATGCCAAAGGCACTGCTGAAATTCTGCATCCAGAACTTGCTGATCTTTTATGATGAATGACAATAATCATAGGATGGTTTGGGTTGGAAGCGACCTTAAAGCTCATCCAGTTCCAACCCCCTGCCATGGGCAGGGACACCTTCCACTAGAGCAGCTTGCTCCAAGCCCCGTCCAACCTGGCCTTGAACACTGCTGGGGATGGGGCAGCCACAGCTTCTCTGGGCACCCTGTGCCAGCGCCTCAGCATCCTCATGGTGAGGAATTCTTTCCTAACATTTAACCTCCCCTCTGGCAGGTTAAAGCCATTCCCCTTGTCCTGTCCCTAAAGCCCCCTGTCCAAAGCCCCTCTCCAGATTTCTTGTAGTCCCTTTAGGCACTGGGAACCTCTGTAAGGTCTCCCTAAAGCCTTCTCCAGGCTGACCACCCCAGCTCTCAGCCTGTCTCCATAGGAGAGGTGCTCCAGCCCTCAGGACAACTTTGTGGCCTTCTTCTGGACTCTCATGAGTCTAATGACCAAAATGACTCTAATGACCCAAAGCAACAGATTTCTGCACCTTCTGATTGTATATGAGAATTGTTTCCCCAATTAGAGATAGTTTTAACTCTCCTACACACCTTTGAAAGAGTAAAAAAAACCCAGGTAGACTGGCTCCTCTAGGAGTCCAGTTTCATACAGCCATTGATGTGCTGTATTTGTTATGGGCCTGGTCTTGGTTATCTATAGATTTACTCTGTCCTTCCTAAGAAGAGAAGCCAAACTTGAAGGGCAGGGAGGGGATGCCTCAGGGAAGTCTTGTGTTTTTCAGATACAGAACTCCCACACGTGTTTTGGGATCGTTTTACAGGCCAAAGAGAAGAAATGGCAAATCAGGGTTTTAATGACAGACGCACATGCAGGGATGTCTCCAGCTGCCTCCCTGCTTCTATGTGAATTTAGTGGTGGTTTTTCCCACAAGCAAAGGTAAATACCAACAGCATCATCCCACAGGCCACCACATCATGGCTGCCTAAGGAAACACAAACCCAAGGGAGCCTTCCTGAGGTAATGTCCCTAAGGGGAGCAGGACACGCAAGAGTAAGAAACCAGTCTGCCCAAAGGCTTTACATCATCCTCATGATCTTAAGGATCTTAAGAGATTCCATTCATACCTGTATCCAAAACATCCTTAGAAAAAGTTTTAGAAGCAAAGCAATTTAAAGTCTTGCTCCAGTCAAGACTGATTCTCTTTTGGGAGTTTATATACTCCATGACATTTGCATTACTAAGTCTAGCATTGTTTCTTCAGAGCCGTGATGTGCCAGATGATGTTCCAGTACAGACTCCGCGTACTCTCAGACTCTGGAAGTAGGAACTGTGGGAAAACCCCACAAGAGTGCTGAGGGACAGCTGGTCACTGTGCAAAATCACTTCTGCAGCACTGTTTAAGTTATTATCAAGGTACTTTATAGGTTCTAGGGCTTCCATAAAGGTCCAGTTCAGAATTTTAAGTCTCTGCTCCCTGCAGTAATTCTTATGTGTCTCTCTGGAGGAAGGTGGTGGGATGGACACAAGATGCAGAAGACTGAGCCACATGGAATGCACTGAAAATGGTGAGGCCATCACATTTCAGGACTGGAGAAGAGGCCAGGCACAGCAAACATTGGAGTCTGCTACACAAAAGAATCAAGCCAGGACTCAAGGAAGGGAAAACCAGAAATGACATCACGTCTGCAGGACAGACTACTTTCTAAACTGACCTTCCACAAGTGACCTGCCTGTACCTCAAACTCATCCTGATGCTTTCGGACCACTTCACCAAAGCACTTCTCCCCTCAGTATTCACTGTCAGATTGCACAGAGAAAAAGGCAAAGTGAGAAAAGGATGCCTTGCAGTCTGACAAACCCCATGTAACAGGAGGGGAATGATCCATCTATCCTGCATTTTGTTGATCACACTGTTCTTGTTTTTGAGTTCTCCTATGAAACAATGCTTAGTGTCTTAAGAATCAACTCACAACTCGCTTAGTGAGATAAAAACTTATCCTAGTAAAGTAAGATTGAGCTCCATCAAGCTCATACTGGTCATTTTCAGAAACCAGAAATATATTCTTGATACGGAACATCCCACCCCAAGCCCAGTGCAGCTGCCTAAATAAGGAGGGGTAAATGGGTAGAACCACCAAGACACTGACTACCTGTGCTGCTTCGAGAGAGTAATGGCAGAGTGATGATCAGTCTGTGGCTCTAGTTTGTGCAAGACTGAGGTACAGCTTCTATGGTAAATGGTCCAGTTTCTTCTCAGGAACTGCAAACAAGTAAGCCTGGAAGGTGCATGGAAACACCAAGTTAGGGAATCTCACCTGTCATGCAGTGGAGCTATACACGCAGTGTAGCTAATCACGCAGTCACTTCTTCAGAGTGACCACACTGAGCTGCTTGTCCTCCTCCCCATTGGTCTTCATAACGTATCCTGGTGACTCCTGGCCATATGAAGACAGCAGAGCATGGCTGGTAAAGTCAGGAAGATTGGAGTCAAAACAAGTAGTGAAAGGTGGAGGTGGATGTGAGAGGAGAAACTACTTCTAAAATATTCAACATCAGGACTTAATCTACAGGTTTGTGTCTTTCCTACTGATGTTGACAAATATAACAACTCATGTGAAACGCGGATTCTTATCAGAGATAAACACACTGGCTCTTGACACATCTACCCCCAGGGCTCTAGTGTCAGTTCTGTAAGATACAACTGACAGAGCTTCATGTAAGGGAAGTCTTGCCAACTTCTTGCATAAGCAAGAATCTTCCATCCTGCCTAAACAACCCCTTTTTCTGACTCAGTTGTTTGTCTCCATCCTTCAGCTCAGACATATCTGAGCTGAAATCTCCCCAGCCTCCCTTCTCAACAGCTGCAAATTAACCGCAGGGATCCCAGCACACTCTGCAACAGATGGCTTAGTGCCTCGCATCGCAATTGGTGCGCTGCAGGGACAGGAATGCAGCGCTGAATCCCGATGCTTGCAAGTGCTCTCAGATTTACAGTCGTGTAGGAAGTAATGGGGTGGAACTGAGTATGCCAGATAACACAGGAAAAGGACACAGAGGAGAAACGTAGCTGCCCTGAAAGCGCTTGCAGTCTCCAAGATGCAAGACAGGAGAAGGAAAGAGGAACATCACTGAATTTGGGCTTTCAGAAATGTGTCAAAGTCATGGCCATTGTGGTACTTTCCTTCTGAGAGAGGCAATATTCGTGTCAAACTCATGGCAAGTTTCTAAACGGATTATACTTTGCCTACACCAAATACTTGTTTAGTATTCATTTCACATGAATAACATATCGTAGTTCTAAAAGCAAAGTGGGTAAACTTCTCCTTATCACAAAACCTGAGCTAGGAAATAATCCCAACCTATTGGTTTCCCTGTATAGTATTTCCAGGACTGGGAGTACTGAGGCAGAACCAGGACAGGTTCAGCAAGCTTGGAAGTGTTCTGCAGGGGTAAGGAGGCAGTGGCAGGTATGGGGCTCATAGGAGCAGTATGAGCTGGTGCCTGTCTAATCCCACACACCACCACGCACATGTGCTGTCCCTATATAGCTGAAGTCTGGGTCACGCTGAAGTTATTTAGCCCCTGAAACACCATGAAGCACAGTGCGTGGCCAGGCAAGTGGCTACACAGTGCCAAATCTTACAAAATGGAGGCTATACAACCCCAAAACCTTTCCCATTTCTACTCAAAGCAGCTCCTCTACATCCAGGGCTATACTGTACATCCAGAACAAGTGGTACTGGACCATGAAGCTCACAGCTAAGTAAATGG